AATGTGATTAGTACTCAATGAAATCATGAAGAATATGATTAGTACAAGTTAATTGCCTTGAAGGATTGATAAAACCTAAAAACAAAAAAAAAAAAAAAGAAAAAAAATTGCATATTTTCAAGATCACTCTCATTTAATAATAGTATCGTTTATTCTATACCTTCATTCTATACCCTCTCATACGAGCTTCATGTGTATTAACTATTTGAGCTTCATGTGTATTAACTAGTACACTTTGCTTCATGGCATGTTATACTAATTTAAGTTCAATAAATTTCAAAGGAAATCATTTGAAATGTTTCATAGAAGTTTAGAGGTTTTATCGTTTAAAATGTCATGACATATATGTAGTAATGGTCGAAAATTAATGAAATTTTAATATTATAAAATAAAAAATGAAATTGATATTGTTGAAGAATTGTTAAAAATAAAATAAAATAATAATTCCTTAAATGAAAATTAAAATAATAAATAAATTATAATTAAAAAACATAAAAAGAAAAAGATAATTGGTAAAAACGCTAAAAAAAGAAAGAATTTCTACATGAGGGCTTATGGGTCCGTTGGTACTATTGGTCTCACCATCATTATATAATAGGGCGTGACTTTTTACTTCACAACCTTCTCATTCGTATCAAGATTCCTCCACTTCAAGGATCTACCCTATTACATAACTGGATTCCTTTATTTTTGTTCTCCGCTCGGGCTCCTTCTAGTAATACACGAGATATTTCAATATCCTTGTAAATACCTTCCTATTCACCACGTCCCATATACTAAGAGAATTGATATTCTTAGAATGTCAATCTACTAGTTACAAAGTTCAACAATTTCATTGGTACACTACTCTAGATTTTGAGTTAATAGATAATTGGGAACAACACGAGAAAGCATTGCTAAGTCACTTCTACTCCGCTCACTCAAATGACAAAAATCTGAACATATTGTTGACTACATAAAGTTCTAGAGAGTTATTTGTCTTGATTAAAAAGATTGTCTCACTAAACTATCTATTGTCATCGAACTAATCAGAGTGGCGTAGTGGAAGCATGGTAGGCCCATAACCCACGGGTCTCAAAATAAAAAACTTGGCTATGAAACATAGTTTTTGATTCTTGTTTTTTCAATGACAGAGAAGATTGAGACTTTTTATTTTTATTTTTTTTATATATTAACTAATTAGAGTGGCGCAGCGGAAGCGTGGTGAGCCCATAACCCACCAGTCCCAAGATTGAAACTTGGCTCTGATACATATAATAGTGTAGTTCTTGATTCTTGTTTTTCAATAACAAAGATGTAAGCTAATGGATTCAAAGAATGGATTGAATTATTTCCTGTCAATATATGCATTCAAACAATGGATTGAGGCTTTTTTATATGTCAACTAATCAAAGTGGCGCAACGGAAGCGTGGTGGGCCCATAACCCACAAGTACCAAGATCGAAACTTGGCTTTGATTTATAATAACATAGTTGGTGCATTCAAATAATGCATTGAGACTTTTTTATATACCATCATCTAATTAGAGTGGGCCCATAACCCATAGGTCCCAAGATTGAAACTTGGCTCTAATACACATAATAGTGTATCTCTTGATTTTGTTTTTTCAATAACAAAGAAGATGTAAGCTACTGAATTATTTCCGGTCAATATATACATTCAAACAATGAATTGAGACTTTTTTATATGTCAACTAATTAGAGTGGCGCAACGGAAGTGTAGTGGTCCCATAACCTATAAGTCCCAAGATCGAAACTTGGTTCTGATATATAATAACATATTTGGTGTTTATATATGTTGCATTCAATAATAGATTGAGATTTTTTTTATATATTATCTAATTAGAGTGGCGCAGCGGAAGCATGGTGGGCCCATACTCATATGTCTCAAGATCAAAACTTGGCTATGATATATAATATCATAGCGTAACTCGTGATTCTTGTTTGAACTATTTTCTGTCAATATATGCATTCAAAGAGTGGATTGAGAATTTTTTATGTATCAACTAATTAGAGTGACACATTGGAAGCATGGTGGACCCATAACCCATAGGTCCCAAGATTGAAAACTTGGCTTTGATATATAATAGCGTAGCTAGTGATTCTTGTTTGAACTATTTTCTGTTGGGCCCCATAACCCATTGGTTCAAAGGTTGAAATTTGGCTTAGATATATAATAATGTAGCAAATAAAAAAGACTAAGAAAGCCCAGACTAGAAAGGTGTGAATGAAATTATATTTTAAATGATAGATATTGAGGTCACTTAGTGAATATTTATTAAAACACTCAGTCACAGCAGCGGAAAATGGTGTGAAAGTTACTTATGCTAAGAATTATGCTAAGAAGTAAAATATGATATATATGCTAGAAAATGGTGTGAAAGTTACTTATGCTAAGAATTATGCTAATAAGGCAAATATGACATATATGCCGGAAAATGGTGTGAAAGTTACTTATGCTAAGAATTATGATAAGAAGACAAATATGATATATATGGTAAACTATAATTTATTACTAAATATTCTTAACACCTCATCGCAAGCTGAGTGTCGGATTTGAACGAACGTGAAGCTTGAATCTGAAAAATTCAAAGAGAGGTGGAGAAACACTTTTCGTGAAGATGTCAACAACGGGAGGAGGCATAGAGAAACACTTTCTTGTCCACCGAAAACTGTAGAGGGATCGTCGGATTTGAACGAACGTGAAGCTTAAATCTGAAAAATTCAAAGAGAGGTGGAGAAATACTTTTCGTGAAGATGTCAACAACGGGAGGAGGCATAGAGAAACACTTTCTTGTCCATCCAAAACTGTAGAGGGATCATCGCTCAGCGGCGATGTTGCCTTGGCTTCAACGAGAATATGTCTAACCCACTCAAAGAGAGGTGGAGAAACACTTTTCGTGAAGATGTCAACAACGGGAGGAGGCGTAGAGAAACACTTTCTTGTCCATCGAAAACTGTAGAGGGATCGTTGCTCAGCGACGATGCTGCCTTGGCTTCAACGAGAATATGTCTAACCCATGAAGAGGGATCGTTGCTCAGCGACGATGCTGCCTTGGCTCTAGTGAGAATATGTCTAACCCTAAGAAGTAGAAGGGAAAACCTATGGAAGGGACAAAGACAATGTTGAAGCCGGAAGAGTCGCCACAGTGGACGAAGAAGCAAATTTTGGTGAGAAGGGCAATCGGAAGAATCACCATATTGGGCGAAGGAGCCAATTTTGGCGAGAATGGCGGCGACAACTTGGTTGGCGAAGAGGCTAGTGCGGCACCCAGATTCCAAAGGTAATCTCTGCAAAAGGTCGATGGGCTTGTTGAGATTCCATATATATATACATTTTTTTTATGAGAAAGCCGATGAGGATAATGAGGTTAGGGTTTTTAAGAAGGATGAACGAAAGATTGTGAAGAAAATGAAAGAGACTATGTTGGTTAATGGAAAACACTGATTTTGTCATGTCATGCATGTAGTAGCGGCTCTATTTCAGTAGAAAAATAGGATCGTTATAGTTGGTATCAAAGCCAAACAATCAGTTGGTGTGCCAGCGAGGATGCTGGACCCCCAAGGGGGAGGATTGTGAGATCTCATATCGATTGGAGAGGGGAATGAAACATTCTTTATAAGGATGTGAAAACCTCTCACACACTTTAAAACCGTGAGTCTGATGACGATATGTAACGGGTAAAAGTAGACAATATCTACTAGTGGTGGGTTTGGGCTGTTACAGGAAGACATCAATGGGTCGTGTTGTTGGAAACCAAGATGATGACTAAGATGCGACTTGCACATGCGAGACCTTGAGCTAGAGTTGCCGAGGATCGAACATGCACACAAGGGCTATGTGTGTGGCAGAACAAGCTTGAATTTTTCACGAGTTATGTTTAGTTGACAAAGGAGAACCTCTCCTAAGGACCAACGAAACCAAAAAGACGGTAAAAAAAATATAAATGGAGCTTAAGTTTTCTTTAAGACTTGTCATAATCGTGTAAAGATCATGACGTCAGACAATTTAAAATGTACACCATGACAATTAATATCAAAGCCAAATTTTGTGGGTTTATGTCAGACAAGGTAGTCAAGAAAATTAACACAAAGGTTGAATAAAGAGTTTGCAAGTGTGTCATAAGTGCCATATTGGATATGCAGTTGCAAGTCAGGATAAATATTAGCTTTGTGGGTTGAAGCTAGACTCATGAGGAGGAGTCTTCGTAGGAACCAAGCTCATTTGTCATTGGCTTGGGAGTTTGAAATTGGGCAATTCGATAACAATAATGTGTTCCAAGGTGCCTTCAAAGAGTCATTTACATAAGAAGAATAATGTTGATGGTTGCAAGTAAAGAAGTCAAGGGTCATATGAGACATGTGTTAGCCAAATGCAAAATTGTGCACGACCCAAGACAATACGAGTTGACGACGTCATTGTGAGAGATCAGTTGAATTGAGTAAGGAAGAGCTCGAGAAAATGAGTTGCTTACCTCGTAAAAGTGCTCTAAGAAACGGGGCACGTGTGTATTCCTTGAGCTATCACCTAGTACCTAAGGTGTATGGCATCACAAGAGTGTCGAGATCAGGTTGAACGTGAGTGATATAGAGAATGAAGCGACAACAACACCAGAGAAGTGTCAGTACGTTTGTCACATAAAGGTGGTTAGTTGAGAAGTTTGCTATAGTGTAGTGCCACAATTGTGTTACAAACTTTCAAACATTACGTCCAAAACTTGAAACTTAAACTAGTTCGGTTCTAGAAAAATAACTCGAACTCTATCTAATCTAATCCAACCCTTATAATATAGGTTGGGTTTGTTCGAGGTTTTCAAGTTTGACATACACCTTAAGCTAAGCTCAAGAAACGAAAAAAAAACATTTTTAATTCTACCAAAATGAAATATTATAGCCAACGTCCATCATAAGTAATTTGAATTTATACATATATTTTTTTTCAATCGATACCAAAGCTATAACAACAATAATTAAAAGATTTCATTATGACAAAACAATCATAGAAAAATTTTGTTGGACAAACTCGACAATGTTCTTCGGTAGTTTAAAATAATTATTCAAACTAAAACGTCTTCATATTTAATAGAAGAACTTCATCGATCAATTTGTCCAAGTTCTTGTAAGCCGACCCACCACGAACACATGCTTCTTCAGCTTTAATCTTCAAGTTCATAACATTCTCCTTCATTTTCTTACCCTTTTCACCATCCATTAGCTCTCTCACAAGCTCCTCCACTTCATTCCTTTTAACATTGCTATCAATTTCCATGCCAATGCCCCACTCAGTACAACAATAACGACAGTTCGTCTGCTGCTCAGCAAAGAAAGGCCACGAGATCATCGGCACGCCAGCACAGATACTCTCAAGCGTTGAATTCCAACCACTATGCGTTAGAAACCCTCCAATTGAAGGATGGTTCAACACTTGTTCTTGACAACACCAACTTGCTATCATGCTTCTATCTTTAGTTTCTACCACAAATTCAGATGGCAAAATGGCCAAATCTCCCACAACTATATCTGGTCTTATAATCCATAGAAATGACTTTCCACTGTCTGCTAATCCCCAAGCAAACTCAATCAGTTGCTCCAGTGTCATCACCGTTATACTACCAAAATTTACATAAACCACCGAGTTAGGTTCCTTCGAGTTCAGCCACTCCATGCACTCGGATTCCTCGACCCAAAGGTTCGACCCAATTTCTCTTAGTTTTTCATCCTCTATTTGGTTGGCAAGCAAGTGAAGTGGACCAATAGTGTAAAGAAGAGAATTGATGGAAGAGAGAGCCTCTAATACATCCAGTTCAAGTTCATCATATGTGTTCAAGATCATTGCAGAAGCTTCTCTGCATGTTTTTGTTGTTTGTAGCATAAAATTCAACATGATATCGTTTGGATCCGTTGTTCTAAGAAGGGTAGGAAGATCCCTCAATCGTATAGTTTTCATTTTCTGAGTCCATTCTATTGTTTTTTCTAGATATCCATCGGTGAGACAACTTGTATCTGTAAACCAAAGAAGATTATGAATGGAATTATCTAACTTTTAGAATCATAACTAACCTTTAGTGGTAAAATATATATAAATTAAGTGTTTATTAAACTTCAAAATTTTCATTAATACCCTTCGGGATAAAAAAAATTAAAATAGTTTTAAAAATACTTTAATATCCTTAAATTTCTTTTCAAATTTTTTAAAATATCTTTAAACTTTTTTAAAAAAAATATATGAAAATTTAAGAAATTTAAGAATAGAAGAATCATACCTTTTAGCGGGATTAAACCATGCTTCACAAGCTTAGAATATTGCAAGTAACCGAAGTAGCCACAAGCACTTGTAGTAAAGAACAAGGCATAAGGAATGTTAAACTTATTGGCAGCCGACACAGTGAAGAACATAACCGCATCGGTAACAAGGCAGGTAACGGGTGGATTGGCAATAGAAATAAGGTCACACAAAGGAGCTAAGCAGTTCTTGGTGATGGAGTCCCAGAGTGTAGGGATATGTTGTGTGGTGTTGGCGTGCGAGTACGGTAAGCCATCGGAGATAGTTTTGAACTGAAAATCTAGCAAGCCATGGACAGCGTTCGAGCCTCGTGACTCGAGCAGCCGCCGATGGTTGTATTCAGTGTTGATGAATGTTATGTGGAAGCCTTTTTGGTGAAGAAGCTTTGCTAAGTTGAGCATAGGGGTGAGATGGCCTTGAGCTGGATATGGGATGCAAATGGCGTGGGGTTTGTGATTTGGTGAGATTGAATAACCCATCTTTGAATCTCTTTGTTTCAGTAACAAACTGGTTTTGTTTGAATGAAAGATGCGTTATTATAAGTCGTTGAAAAGTGAAGCAAAACGACATTACTTTTCTTCTTTTCTAAAGCTTCCAAAATCTTCACATGTTTGTGCCCACAAATTAATTTGGTCCCATTGGACAAAAATATATGGTAACATTGTAACGATCCAATTCTACTCCTAGTTGATATTATCTGTTTGTTTCGGTCCGTTACGTATCACTGTTAGTCTCATAGTTTTAAAATGCGTCTCCACACCCTTATAAAAAGGGTTTCGTTTCCCAATCTGTTACGTATCACTGTCAGTTTCACAATTTTAAAATGTGTCTCGAAACTTTTGTAAGAAAAGTTTAGGGTTTCGTTCCCCTCTTCAACCAATATGGGATCTCACAATCCCTCCCTTGGGGCAGAAATGTTTCATTCCTCTCGCCAACGAACGTGAGATCTCACAATCCACCTCTTTAAGGGCCAACATCCTCGATAGCACACCTGTTGGTGTCTTTAATTCCATTGGTAACATCCCTAAACTATATTAATTAATTAATATTTTTAATAGATAACAAACCTACATTTTATTATTAAGCTAGGAATAACTATTTCAACACTTTTTGAATCATTCAAATTAGAGTTTAAATTTAATTCAAAATTAGAGTTTAAATTAGAAAACAACTCTTAGGTCAACGTTTAGAATATTATTATTATTATTATATTTATAATATAAAAATATGATGGGTCTATACTCACATTATTATTTATTAATATTATTACATTTATAATAAATTTTAAAAATTTTATTAATTCATTACTCACCTCATTATTTATTATTACGTATTATTGTATTTATAATAAATTTTGAAATTTTGATTTATATATTATTCACAATATTATTTATTATTATATTATTATTTTTAAAATAATAATAACAATAAATTTTGAAATGGTGAAGTTTGCCTATTTACCCACATTATTTTTTTTAATATTATATTTTTAAAAAATAATATAAAATAAATATAAATTAAAATTTGAAAATTTGAAAACTTTCCATTTACTAGTGTTTCTTCCTACCGGTATAAATGTTTCATTATAGTCCGGTCCATATTTTTTTTAAAGAATTTTAAGCTATAATCGGATCCTTATATCTCGATTGATTTAGTTGGGACACGCTTTATTTGTAACCCCTCTTTCCTGGGTTTGACTTCTCTAAGTCTTGACACTAGTTTCCAAGTTTAATTTTGCTCTAACGCTATATTCTTGGTCGATTGTATTATGCATTTATGGCTCTTTAACTTCATCTTCTATAATAGCTAGAGTGGTATATTGGATTTGGTTTTTGAATTATTTTTAATCATTTAAGTTGTTAACGTGCCATTTTTTTTTTCACTAGATCGTTTAGTTGAGTCACTTCTTGCCCACAAAATTAGTGTCACTTGAATCTTCACGTACATCAATACTTAACCTAATGTGTATGGTTTTCTCTCTCGTCCTCTGTAGTAAAATTTCTTCAATGTTGTTAAGTCTAGTAATACTTTCTTTTCCAAGGGCCACCTCGCTTCCATTACACCACTTTGATTGTCAGTCAAGTGGTTCGAGAATCATGATTAAATAATTAAGTTATTCTCATAATCGATATGCTCTCTTATCATCGCCATGAGCGCTAGCTTATCTTCTTCTATGACACATGTACCTCTGCACCCCATTCATCTTCCATATGCTTTTTGGAGAATGCAAATTACTTTTGACAAATTTTTTCTCAGACCAACAATCCTTGGACATGTGACCCTTCTCCTCGCAATCATAACAAATATTTTAAAATCTCTTCCCTTGATGTAATAGTCGTATAAAAAAAATGTTGATCCACACACTCCCCGACTCCACAACATGCAAAAACACGACCCATAGATATTAGCAATGCTTTCATATCACCTGCAAGAGAGGAATACTGGGAGAGAGAACGAGAGAGAGAAATATTACGAACGAACTCCAATAAGGCCAAACACACAACTTCGTCATTGAAAACAACCAATCCACGCCGTGGAAGGGATCATTGATGACTGCACGTACACCCAAAGTACGTTTCACGCCTCAACAACGATTCTCTTGGTCGAAAAATGACTGCACGTAACTCTATTGGTATGAGGTCTTTTGGGAAGCCCAAAGCAAAGCCATGAGAACTTATGCTCAAAGTGGACAATATCATACTATTGTGAAGAGTCGTGTTCGTCTAACACCTACATCGATTGGGGAGGTGAACAAAACATTCTTTACAAGGGTGTGGAAAACTTGAGGGGAAGTCGAAAAGGGAAAGCCCAAAGAGAACAATATCTTCTAGCCAGTGGATTTGGGCCGTTACAATATGTGAAGATGCAATACCGAAAGCTCAAAGATCTAATGGTTATACTAGAAACAACGAGAAATATATATGGTAACACTGGGATGATAAACTCTCTAGTAGCTAAAAGTATATATCTATCATGATACTTGACAGCAAAATTAAATTATTTTAAAATACGACTCGTACGTGGGACATTAAATTAAATTGTTTTTTTTTTGTCTATTTTGTTGAATATGGATAAAAGGATCTCGACATCATCCGACAAGAACAAAACATCACCAATTTGTATATAAAAACCATTTTCAAAACCCTTATAAAATGGCATTATTTTATGGGATTGGTTTTGATTTGTTGAGCATGAAGGGATCCTTTTATTGCATTTCTTTGCCGTATGAGTAAGGTGTTCTTGATAATGAGCAATAAAATAAAATAAAACATATGATGATTGTGACACTAGGAAAAAAAAAAAATACATAAATGAACGGGACCATATATGAATGAGACCGGTTTTGAGGATAAGAAAGGCTTACAAAAATTCAGAGTTACTACCTTACTAATAAAATGCACCTTTCTTTTGTTCGGATATGGAGTCTGATGCAGTCAAGATCTAGTAGAGATATGTTTAATAGATATTTAATAAAAATCGGATAGAAATATATATGGTAGATACTTAGTAAATAATTGATAGAGATATATCTAGTAGATTAATGTTAAACCTATATTTATATATAGTAAACTGAAACCATATATATATATTCCATACCAGTGATTTCAAAATGTACTTTTCTTCCTCCTCTATATTCTATATTGTTGTACATATTTGAAGTCATCAATAAAACATAAAGCGTTTAGCCAATATTCCTCCCTGAATTTTCTCTCTCTTGTTCATTGTGTTCATCTTGATCGAGTGTGAGCGTTGTTGAGCAATCCTAAGAACTGGTATCAGAGTGAGACGAGATCCACCACGAGCTATGAAGATGGAAATTTCAAAGATTGGAATTGAAAAGTTTGATGAATCTAATTTCAGTTTCTGGAAGATGCAGATTGAAGATTGTCTGTATCAGAAAGATCTTCACGAACCCCTGTTATGAGTTAAGTCGGATACTATGACCACGGAGCAGTGGAAGCTCAAGGATCGATAGTCCTTATGGTTGATCTGATCTGATTGATGCTGTTCAGAAATGTGAAGGCACCGTCAAATATATACGAGAAACCATCGGCTATGAACAAGGTGTATTTGATGTGGAGATTGGTCAATCTACAAATGTCTGAAGGTGGATTTGTTGCTGATCATCTAAATGAATTCAATATGATTGTAAGTCAACTGAATTCGGTGGAAATTAACTTCGAAGATGAAATTAAGGCACTAATTTTGATGTCATCTTTACTCGAGTCATGGGATACTGTTGTTGCCACAATCAGCAGTTCTCGAGGATCTGAGAAGCTGAAGTTCGATAAAATTCGAGATGTAGTTCTTAGCGAAAGTATTCACAAACGAGAATTTGAGGATTCATCTGGTAGTGCTCTCAATGTTGACAAAAGAGGAATAAGTAAATCAAAGAGCCCAAACAATGGACTATCAAAATCAAAGAACCGGAAAAACTCCAAACAAACCAAATGCAAAGTGTTGGAGTTGTAGAGAAAAAGGTCACTTTCGGGCAGATTGTACAAAGTGAAAGCATAATAAAAAATCAAAGAATGACGATGATTCGGTAAATTCAACAGAAGACATTGGTGATGCTCTAATTCTTAGCGTGGACAGTCCGATTGAATCATGGATTTTGGATTCAGGTGCATCTTTTCATTCATCTTCAAATAAGGAGTTTCAAAATTTCAAGTCTGGAAATTTCGAGAAGGTATATTTTGCCGACAACAAAGATTTGAAGATTGAAGGAAAAAGGGATATCTGCAGTAAAACTCCAGTAGGAAATCAGTGGACAATAAAGGATGTCAGATATATTCCTGGTCTCAAGAAGAACCTAATCTCTATTGGTCAGTTGGACAACACAGGTTATGCAACAGAGTTTGGAAAGAGTTCGTACAAGATTGTGAAGGGTGCTATGGTGGTAGCACGTGAGACAAAATCTAGAACCTTATACGCCACTGCAGGGTGTATGAACATAGTTGTTGTTGCTGAGAGTGCTTCCAATTCAAGTCTATGGCATAATAGACTTGGACATATGAGTGTCAAAGGAATGAAGATGCTGGCTGTGAAAGGAGTTTTGGAAAGTCCGAAATTTTTTTATGAGTCCTTGTGAGAACTGCGTTATGAGAAAAAAGAAACAAGTTAACTTCACAAAGACTGCCAGATAATTGAAGAAAGGTTCCGGGACAACGGAGCAAGTGGGAGTTGAGGTTGAGTTGCTGAAAGATTCACCTAGTGATGTTGTAGCACATACTCAAGAAACGTCTGAGATTGTTGCTGAGGAACCAGAAGTGGAGCAAGTGACTCCTGAGCAAGTGTTGAAAAGATCATCCAGAGCTATCAGAGTCCCAAATAGATATGTACCTTCTTTACACTATCGGTTGGTGACTAATGAAGGGGAATGAGAGCCCCTTGATGAGGCCCTACTGTTGAAGGATACAACAAAGTGGGAGCAAGTCATGGATGATGGGATGTCTAGGCTTCAGAAATTCGTTGCTCTTTCATCTACTGA